TTTGCTGGTTCCTTGCTGCTGGTTCAGTGTTTGAAGAACATGGCTGTAGTGCTATGTGTCTCTCTGTTGCTCTTTTTCTTGGCTTCTGACCATGTTGCCAGCCATGCCTTTGGCATTCCCCTTTCTTTTGGCCTTTGCAACACCTACAGTTTCTGTAAAAATTTCCTTTTAACATCACTAGGTTGAGTGATATTCTGTGGATCTTGGTTTTACATGACTCCTGCAGGTTTGCATTTTTCCTTCTGCTCTTCTACACACACATGTATTCAAATATCAAGACCCAGAAGCTGAAATGCATCTGGCAGTATTTTCAAAATAGTTCAGAAATTCCCACTTACGTAGCTAAATGATTTGTTTGTTTTTCCAATCCTCTAGCTCCTGTTGGGTTACTCGGGTATTTTGATGAACTGCTTGTTAGGGATTATCTCCTAGCATTACCTGCAGTGTTTTATCATGTACGTAATCTGCACAGAGACTCACCATGCTTGCAGGAAATAACCAGATTTTGAAAAGTGTTCAGAATTCAAATGCTGCCTGAGAAAATAACAGGAGGATTAAAACCGACAGAAGCAACAGAGTTTTTTGTGGGGGTTTCTTGTTGTTTTTTATCATGTTGTTTATTGTGGGGTTTTTATTTATTTCTTTGGTTAGGGTTTTGGGGGCTTTAGGGTGAGGGCTTGTCTAAGCAGGAACAGTATACATTTTAAAGTATAGCTTATGTTTTATACCAACAACTTTAGAAAATCTGATCTGCTGATGGTAAACAGTCTCATGTACAAGGGGAGAAGGCTTTTGGAAATAATATAATTTGTCTTGCATTACTGCCCTGCCTTGAGCATTATGCGATAAAAAAAAAGGCAAGCCTGAAGCCAAGGCAATGGATGTTATTCTTGTGGCTTCTATTACCACTCACCAAGCTGTTGGTCACAATTTTGCACAGCAAACTCTGCACATGTGCCTACTGGCAAGCATGCCTAATACATTCCTGTGCTCAGACTCTCAAAAGGCTTTGTGCCTTCCTAGGAAAAGAAAAGACAGGGAAATAAAAACAACCACTCATGGAATTTCAGCTGCGAGTGTGTAGTTGTGTGATAATATTTTGCAGGTTTCCTGTTTAATTTGTTCAATGTGTTGAGCTTCCATGCAGATTAACTATACAATCAAACACTGAGAGTGAGGAGATTGCTGTGCTTTGCCAAACTCACAAGTCCAGAGAGAAGTTATCTACAGTCATACATTATCAGTGAGTCTTTTGCAGAGAGAATATGGAAATGCATGTTCCTTATCTGCAGTGATATTATGCAGGCCAGCAGACATAGGTTTCTGAAAAAAAATGCTAACAAAATGACAGCTATTCAAACCATCTTAATAAGGAAAGATCTAACACCTTGCTTGCTTTTGCCTGTTAAACCCTTCCAACTGTGTGGGGCTTTTGCTGACACAAGTGCTCCGCTGCTTTGTGTTCTCTTGCTGTTATCACCCTTGTTGCTTTCTTAGAAAGTCTGTCAAAGCAGGGGAGGTCTGTGGGTCACAGAGGGACCTCCTGACTGGAGAGTGGAAAAAGCCTGGATGCCTTTCTGTGTGCCTAATTGACTCTTAAATGTGAGGCCCTCACAACATTTTGGCGCAAGGAATATGGATAAAGTGGATCGCACCACACCTTTCATTCAAGCAGCGCCTCTTCCAGGGTGCTTCTTCCACACTTAGGTTATGCTTTTTCTCTTTAGGATCTGACTGTTTTCTTTGCTACCTGGCCCTTGTCATTCCGTGACGGATGGCACGTGTAAGGGCTCTGCTGCTGCCATACCAGAGCTGCTTGAAAAGGGCACTGCCCAGAAAGCGACCCATAGGAAACGCTGTGAGTCGCCCTTCCATCTTCATTTTGACTGAGCCACCCTGTCCAAGATGGTACCTCAGCCTCCCTCTGTGCGTAGGAGATGCAGGAGGTGTTTTCCTTGCCCTAGCTGCCCTGTTCCTGCCCACCAGGGCCAGCCTCACACAGCATGGTGGGCAGAAGCCTCGCCGGCGGCGGGAGTGGTGCTGCGTGACAGGCACGGCAAGAAGAAGTGGAAAGGAGCCAAGCTGGCAGGAGATGCCGTGGGGACAAAGGGGAAAGGGGTAGAGAGGGGAGAGGAGGCAGTTGTCGGGGGGAGTGATGTCTAGTTATCATTATAAGCATTTTTGCCTCCTCCAGAAGTGCTTTTACCCCGCAGACACCCCGCTGTCTTACCAGCACCATAGAATTGGCACAGGCTGTGATGAAAGTCAGCTACCACTTGAAACAGTGGAAGCTGTAGCTGATCTTGATCCAAGCGCACAATGCTGTAGTTTCATCAGCACAAGCTTTCTCATATGCCTGGCAGGTCCGATTAATTTTTGCAAAACTGCAACTGAAAGGAAACAAACATAGTGTAAATGAAAAAAAGAAGAAAAAAAAACAAAACAAAACAAAGAAACAATCTCTTTTCTGTCATGTCTGTGAACAGCTTTTACTGCTTTCCCTGGAGAGCCTGCATGCTTGGACAGCAAGTTACTGTGAATTAGTGAGGGTCACTGCCATTGATTAAATCCTCTTTTATGTTTCCTGGTAACTCCTGAATTATGGCAAGAGCTGAGCATATTAATTTAACACTTTTCTTTTTTTCATTGACATTTGTGATGGAGGAAAAAATCTGCAAGTCATTTTGAGCAGATAATATTGAATTAAAATAAAACTCAGGAACAAAATGGCATCTCTCTTTTATTCCCAGTTACACATTGCTACATTGAAAGAAAAATCAATAACTAGTTGAAGTCTTAAGCACAAAAATTTTCATTCTTGCAATCGTGGTTATTCTTTTAATTTATGCAAAATATGGAGTAGGGCTATAATAAGTGAAATATGGTAAGTTAAGGAATATTGCCTTTTTATTTCACACCTCTGCACACCTTTTTTTACACAGTGACAAAAGGCTATAACCTTAACTCTTTAATGACAGAATGAAACTATCAGCACAAGCCTCAGTAGTAAGGCTGTTAGTGCTAACTATTTTTGTTGGAAATTTTATTTCTTTTTTTTTAAAAAAAGGTAAAAAAGATTTTTATATTCAGGCAATATTTACCATGTTCTTATGTAAATGTATGTATATATACGCAGACACACACACTCATAAAAGTATGTTTATTTAAACATATTGGTTTCCGAATGGTGCGTGGGCACTTGTTTTTCCAAAAGCAAAAGTTGTTTTCATAGCGTTTTGGGAACACGCTGAAATTTCCAAAATTATCCTGGGGAGTGGGGGGAAATGGAAACCAACATATGAGAAGACATTCTGGGGGATATTTCTCTGTGATCATGAAATTCTGGGTCTTTACCTGATCCATCCCAGTGCCTCCCTGCCACATGTGCCTACCTCGTGTGTACAGTCTCCATGGATGCCATTCCCAGAGACATCTTCCTCTCAAACATTTTGCTGATGTGTAGCCTAAAACTTCTTGCCAGTGACTTACGCAGGGATGCATGGAAAAAGTATCACCTTCCTCTTAGTCAGAAGGTTTTTAATTATGGAGGGCTGCTCTGTCCCTATCCTGTCTTCTGCAGGTGTCATGTCAGGCATCACCTCATTTGGTCACTGGCTGCAGACCACATTTTGCCAGCCACAGCTGTTCATGCTGCTCTACTCTTGGCTCAGTTTCCAGGGTTTCCCTGGGCTTTCCTGGGATCAGGAAGGCTGCCTCACGTGTGGGACAGGCCATGCTGCTACATTCAGCAGTCAATCTGTTATCAGTCAGGTGCATATCGGTTGTTCATTTAAGCTTTTATAATTATGGTCATGATGGTGCTGCTTGCCTCTCGTATTATTGGAATAATAATTAAAACACACAAGGAAAAAGTACTAAAACATAATCAAGAATGTTACCATTTGTTAGAATGTTTTCTTGTACAGGACATGTTGGAGACCTGTTGGTTTCCCTGTGGGTACTCCTAGTCTGCATGTTATGGATGATCATTTGTCCATGCTGGCCGTTTGTTTCCTTGGACAATGTTACAGCTGTTCAAGAAACAAATGCCCTGCAGATGGAGGTACTACATGGTGACTCCTCGCGGGTTCAGTCGGGGCACAGCTGAGCCACTATGGACTTAGAGGCTATCAGCCATCAGCTGACCAGCTGGAGTTCCCCATAATTAGCCCTCCCTGGTTGTGTGGTAAAGGTGTTATCTTAAGCCTCAGGGGAAGTAAGGTTAAACAAGGTGTTTTACCTCAATACTGGAGCACAGCAGTGGCTGGGTTGCAGCTAACCCACGGGGTCAAATGAAGGGTAGCATGTCACAGAAGGATTGCATCTTCTTGTGAAGCCTGTCTCAAAGATCAGTACTGGTATGGAATATTAGAGGTCTTTAACTTAGAAAGCCTGAAATGGTTCGAGATTTACACAGACAAGAAATGTTTATTGCTACAACACAGTAGAAATTGAGATGCATCAGCTGGAGCCCTACAGCATCTTGGCTGAGCCTTTTCAGTGCAGTGTCCCCTTCTGGGTCCACGATACCCTTAATTGATATTGATTCTCTTGATGGGCTCCCATGCCCATTGTCTCTTGCCTCAGGAAAAGGATATGGCCAAGCTGAGGTTTGAGGTAGGTGTATAATGTGGGTTGTAATGTTTGGCCAGAGCAAAAGCCTTTCCCTCAGATAAGGGAAGCTGTTGAGCTTATATTTATGCTTTTAACTCCCTGTCATATCAGTTGCACCTGGAGCCTTTGCCATGTATGGCTTGTGCATGTAAGACCATGTAGGAGAACTCCAAAGAGCAAAACAGACTGTCATTAAATGTGCCCTTATGCTCTAAGGACGACACACGTAACATGCAATTGATCCTTATTTTTCAGAGGTTTGTATAGAAGCGTTGCTAGCCTGGTTGGGGTTTTGCTCTCTGTGACTTGCCTAGCTCAGCTTGAGTTAGGCATATTTTCTCTTCTCAGGATGGCCTAATCACGAGCACGTTCTTTTATTTCTTTAGCGGTGCCTCCCAAATTGAAGGAAATGAAAAACCAAGAGGCTGCTGTGGGTCAGAAGCTAGTGCTAAGGTGTGAAACCACTTCAGAGTACCCCGCACTCAGATTCAAATGGTTAAAGAATGGAAAGGAGATAACCAAAAAAAACAGACCGGAAAATATCAAGATCCCAAAAAAGCAAAAGTAAGTACGGAGTAATATCTCTCAGATGGGGCTGGGAGGGCTGGGGAGTGCTGTTCATGAGAACATAAGCATTTTGTTAATTGCAGCAACAAAAAGCTCAAAGCTCTGAGTTACAGAGGAAGAAAATGTAAGAAAACAGACACCAATGTTATTTTTCTTGAAAGTATGAACAAAGTGTTGGTATGGTAGAAATATTTCATAATTAATTCTCCCTTTTCAATTTTTTTTTTTCTGATAGCCAAAGGCTATGATTTTGACCAGTAAACATTGCAGACAGGTCATTTTTAAACTACTGATAAGAGCAGAGATACCTTACATTTGTTGTCTAAAATCAAAGAACACTTAAAACCATCAAAGGATTGTACATTTTGGAATAGTTCTGAGGTTTGCTTTGCAAGCAGTTTAGTCCTTTAGTCCTTAAGAAGGGCTGAATGCTATCTGCATTAGCTTTGAATGTCTTATGCAAGCATGCAGTAGTCCTTTACCAGAGACATTCCCGTGCATGCAGAACAAGGCACAGTTCAGCAGATGTCGGATGAGTAGCAAAGCCTGTAAATCTCATCCTCCTGTCTGGTGAAAATGTCCCCTACATGTGACTGATGACCAGTGCCAGAAGATGGAGTGGTGCCTAGTTTCTGCGGGGGAGAAACTACGCAGTGCACTGAGACAGGAGAAAGCTTTTGCTGTTTGGTCTCTATCCTGTTGTTTAGATTAAAAAGTCTGAATTGTGACCACTTGTCTATCAAAGGAAGCTATGAAAATCTGTTTGAGCACAGCCCATCAACTCTCACTCTTCTCAATAGGCTGCTGTCTGCTACACTGGGCCATGCTTTCCCTTCATGCAAGACACTGAGGATTTAGGGTGAGCTCTACAAGTGGTCTTTGCTTCCAAGGTGTCCAGTGACCCCATACTTTTTGTCAGGGCTCATCTCATTAGGCAAAACAGAAGCCATAATTAAAGAGACCTTTGCCTTTTTAGAGTTATCCAGGTTAAAATCCAGACATCCTGCCCTGCCTTACAGTTTCTTGTAGCCCAGCCTGGAGCACAAGGTGAAATATGGAAAGGGGCAGATCAGTTTCGTCACAGTCCCATGCCGTGGTCGCACAGACGTCAAGAAGGAACCTGTGATGCCTCCTTCCAGCATTTGTGAAATGGAGCTGTTCCAGGTGGCAGATAGCCTGGCAAATTGTCTGGACTCATTTGCAGAGCCATATGTCTCCATCAGAGTTGTATTTTCAGTCTGTTCTCTAAAGAAAACGTTCAGATCAGAGCCTACCCCTCAGCTTCCCCAGCAAGGCAGTGCTGCCTATGAGGGGCAATCAGTGTTTTCTCCTCTTACATTTTGGCTGATGCTGATTGACCAAACTCACTGGGGCCAGGGCTTCCCCTTCTGGGGCAGGACTTTGTCAGTTCAGCATTGAATCAGTAACTGTCTTCTTGAAGCTCACTTCTTTGTCTCTTTTTTTTGCCCCCAAAAAACCTTGAGGAGCTGTCTGAAGGGACACTTGCTGATAGCTAATAATTTGATATCGATGCATGTGGAACATGTGAGACTATTTTTCAATGCCAAAATAATGCTTAAAATTCCCCAAAATATATATAATGAAAAAAGAAGAATTTAAATTGTGCCTTTTTCTGGAAAATGAAGATCCCAAGTCCTGTTCACCCACCATAAGTGGACAGAGTGCAGGCTTTAACCTGTATTTCACGCTTCCGTGTGCTACCTCAGTCAGGAAGATTTCACTCATTGTTGGAATTTCTTTCTTCTATTTTCTGTTTTAGAAATGTTAGTGTGGAACCGAGAAGCACTTCCAGTTAGAGATGTGAAAGACACTAGACGCAGAGTACAAAAAAGGGAAAGACAAGGGTTATCTGATGACATCTGAAGGATTTTTCTTGCCTTCCTACTTTGAGATTTTAGTTTGGGGACACCTCAGTGCGTTTTTTTAGTAATGTCACATTTTGCAAGAATTCACCTTTCTCACTGTGTGATGGCAGAATAAAACCTGTTTATTGCTGGGGGAAAAAGAAATGTTTCTGAGGTCTGATAAATCGCCAGAGATGAAGCTAAATAGCTTTAGGGTTTTTAACAAACTGCAGATATATGGCAGTATGATGAAGTATCTATCTCAGAAACTGAAAGTTAAGACCTTAGCTTGGCACCTGGAGTGGGCAAGGAAAATGTAATATGACGGGTTGGTGTTTATTGGGTGCAATGGTCAGTGTGAATACTACTGGATCAAAGGATTTGCCAAAGCGGAGCAGACGCTGACTGTTTTCCTAGTGCTTTAAGAGTTTAGAAGACCCTGTGGCAATGCAGGCTTCCTCAAAGCTTAGCCTTCTGAAGACTTCTTTGCGTGTCAAACGAACTTGGGGAATCATTCCTAGGATTATTTCAGGGGGGTTGATTAAGAGGGTGCAGAGCCAACCAGGGCATGTGATGACCCCACCTGGAGTGCTGCATCCAGCTGCGGAGTCCTCATCACAAGGAAGATGTGGAACTGTAGGGATGAGTCCAGAGGAAGCCACAAAGCTGATCACAGGGCTGGAGCAGCACTCCTGCGTGGGGAGGCTGAGAGAGTTGGGGCTGTTTAGTCTGGAGATGAGAAGGCTCCAGGGAGACCTTACAGCAGCCTTCCAGTAGGTAAAGGGGGTTTACAAGAAGGCTGGAGAGGGACTTTTTACATAAGTGTGTAATGAGAGGACAAGGGGATATGTCATTACTCCGAAGGAAGATAGGTTTAAATGAGATATTATGAAGAAGTTTTTTACAGCGAGGGTGGTGAGGCACAGCCACAGGTTGCCCATAAAGGTTGTGGATGCCTCATATTTGGAAGTGTTCAAGATGAGGCTGAATGGGCTCTCTCAGTAACTCGGTCAAGTGGAAAGTGTCTCTGCCCATGGTAGGAGGGTTGCAACTATATGATCTTTAACCCTAACCATTCTGAGATTTTATGCTTCTATGACAGTACAGCAGGTGAATCACACTAAGTGGCTGTGCTCCTTCTCATTGCACTAGAAAGTCAAGGGAAACTGAGTAACTTTAAATTTTAATGAAGGGCGTTTGAAGCACTCACTTTTTACCTCAAATTCGTGAGAGTAAGAGCGTGGAGTCAGAGTTTCTGCTGCTGATTCCAGATGATTCAGGATGCCATGACTGACTGATTTGTGTGTCCAGAATCTAAGCTATTTGTGACAATGGAGACACACAAAAAAATCAGGCATCAGAGAAATGCTTTTCACCTGCTAGCTAACTGTTCCCATGCCTGTCCCCTTGTACAGACAGCATTTAATTTTCCTTGTCTGATTTCAAACGCAGGTGAGATCTGTACGTTGTTGGTTTGGGTTGTGTGCTGTACAGGGTCAGGTGCCCTTCATTATAGGAAGAGACTCCTTTATCAGGGTTGGGGGTTTTTTTTGCAGCAGAGGCAAGGTGTTTGTCACTTCATCTAGCTGATGGCTTTGGATGCAGCAGTGCACGAGGAAACTTCGTGTGCCCTGTACCTTGAGCTTCATCCAAGCTTAGCCTGGATATTTGCCTGCAGACAGGCAATTCTGGATGACAGATGGAGACTGGAAGCAAAATGAATTCAAGCAGTCAGATAAGGTGGGCTGGGGCTGCATTCTGCAGATGTATTTCTTTCCCTTTCATGTAAGAATACAAGCTCAGCAGTGTCATAGTGGCAATGAGCTAAAGATACAGCAGAAGCAAATCTTACAGGGAGAGGCATTTTTTTGGAGGAGCATGGTATAGTTTGAGAAAAGGACAAGCGTTTGAATACAAAATCCCTTATCAGGAGCTTTAAGTGAGTACTATTGGAGTATTGCTAGGGAACTACTTCATTTACAGCCATTGATGAGTCATCTTCTGCTCTGACTGTTTTGAATTCTGTCCTGATACATCTCAATGATATTTTTAAAGCTATAAATATTCATATTATTTCTCCCACTCTCAGAGACAAAACTCCTTGCAGAGTTTTTTCTAAAAACAAGAGTAAATTTGGCTTGTTAGAAATGGATTTGTAAGAAATCCGTTTGCTTCACCTATTTTAATATGATAATAAAATCATAAAAGGAAGACACAATTCCTTACCTTTTCCCATAAGTGTCACATAAAACAAAGCCAATTAAAATAAATGCGCAGGGCAAAGAGTCCCTTCACAAAGCCAAGCATGCCACAAAAATTTTTTGCCTCAATATTACTTAATATATGAAGAGAGACTGCAGTAGATATACAATGGGTGTCCAGATTAAAGTGATATAGCTGCAGCTCTGCTTCTTCCTTCTCATTGGGTTAAAGTGAGTTCTTCAAAAAACTAAGCCTGTTTACATTGCCTTCTGGAGCTTCCTGAGGCTACAGCTTGCTCTCCATCTAGACAAGTGTCTGCAGATATGGCTGAAACATAACCTGTGCAATACAGGGAATATCACATGTCCACGCGAGCTGTTAGGTGGTATAGAACACGGCAAGATATTCCTGGTGAGGCCCTTAACAGGCCCTTGCAAAGGTGGGTATGTGGATGGATGGCAAAAAGATTAAAGAGCAGGCCATTTTCACTGTTGCATAAGCACAGTTGTCAGTCAGGTGCAAAATTTCCACACAAAGATACAGTAGCATTCAACTTTCAGACGTTTCTGTCAGTGCCTCTACCACATTTTTCTCGTATATTCATGGTTGCCACCAGCTAAAGTCTGTTCTTGTATGCCACCTGAAATGCAGCCCAGTTGATTAATTCATGCTGGGAACTGTGCTCCTAACCATGAGAAGGGAGCCCGAATACTCAGCTATACATTTCTTCACCATTTCAGTAAACCTGAGTAAAATGCTAATCCTGCCTTGACTGCTCCTCCTTCTCGCAAGGCCAGTGGCCTCAAAAAGCAGTCCTCTTTCATGACATGAGGGGAAACTCTCGTGATGTGGGCTTCGAGCAGAGAGGCGTCCACCTAGCACACTGCTCTCATTCCAGAAGGGCCACAGTGCTGACTCCTCAGCAGTAAAACCTTCACATAGAGGCAGAGAAGCTTGAGCTGCCAATAAACAGATGTTTGGTAGCAGATGGGATAGTTTCCTGTGCTGGAGCGAGGGGTGTCTTGCAAGGACGGGCTGAAAAGGGACATTGAACATTTTGATTGCTCCAGAAGCTCCCTCTGCTACAACAGACTTGTTTGTGGTCTGAACTGAGCCCTGTTCAGCGATTCCCAGAAGGGGTAACCAGTTGTGATTTCTGTGTGGAGAGTTGGGAGACATGGCAATGCTGGAGCAAAGCAGCTCCCCAAACATAGTTTAGCTCAGCACTCATAGCTAGACATGATGGTAACTACAAGCTTTTAGAGTGAACAACCGATGCCTCCTGGGTATCAGTCCTTCAAGTCAGGGTAAGCCGATTTAGGAAAGCCAGTGCTCATGCACTCTGAGTGACTGTTCTGTAGATAAATGAGCAGGCTTTACTACAGACAGAAAATTCCCCAAAGCACTTCTTTCAAACAGTAACTGGGAACGGTAATAATGTGTGCATTTTCCCCAAGCTAGTAATTCTCTGCAGTTTAGATAATGGGATTATTGCCATCTTATGAGTTGGGGACCCTTTGAATGACACCAGAACATATTCTTACGAAATTAATGGGTAGGCAGGAGTTCTGCATTTTAAAATCTAATCTTAAGACCTTGGAGACTGATTAAATTACATCTCTGAGCCAGGAACAAAATGTAGCTTCATGCAAATTGTGTTCCTGCCCATGATTTTTTGTTAGCACTGGAGAATGACTTACTATTGGAGTTAGAGAGTGGTGTGTCCTAATCTCATGATTATTTAGTCAGATGTTAGGAACTACCATACTTACCCAGAACTCTATTGCTGGAAATGTGAACCTGTAGGAAAGGGTAATACTATTTTAGTATTACACCCATCTCTGTGGCATCTGAATAGCCAACAGTTTGACTGTGAGAGGATGATTGTTGGACAGTTGTTTCCCGGATTTCCTTTAAGAGGAAAGACTTCTGTCGTACAAAAAAGCATAAACAAGTATCTTTATTTAAGTCCATGAGTGTGCCTCTTTTCCAAGAAACCTTAAAGAGAGATGTTTTTTTATTCTCCTCTGTTCTTTCAAACCTGGATAGTGTTGATCTGTCAGTAAGAATGGAAGACAAGATTCTCTTTTGGGGGGGGCAGGAAAGTACATTAGTTGGTGCAGTGACTGTTACTCCAGTACAGGATGTTTATGTGTTTGGTTTTTTTTTTCTGATTTCACAGGAAATACTCTGAGCTTCACATTTACAGAGCCACATTGGCTGATGCTGGGGAATATGTATGCAGAGTGAGCAGCAAGCTAGGAAATGACAGTACTAAAGCCAGTGTTATCATCACAGACACCAATGGTAAGGCTTGACTTTTTACTTTACTATCACATTCAGGAAGACCACATATTAGAGCTGCCATCAGGACAAAAGGGTTTGGAGAAGGGGAAAGCTTTGCAAGTGAAGTGGAAGTGGAAGCACTGAAATCTATTAGGTGTACTAAGAAAAGTGATCGGACCTGACTTGTCTTCTGTGTAGTTGAGATGTTCGATTTTCCTTATGCAGACAAATGGAATGTCTCCTACTGATGTCTCAGGACAGATCAGCATTTTCTGTATAAGACCAAGTCTAAGACACAGTCTATATAGTCAAGATAAGAAGAAGATTAAGAAAAGGGAATATTATTTTAATTCCCATAATACACAGTGGGAGCATTTTGGGCACATGGGGAAGCTTTTATTTAACCTAAAACATGTCATAGTCTGAACTGCTAAACCAGCACTCCCCTCCTTAAGTAATAATTGAATGGCTCTGATTGCCACTGTTTTTACTTTCACATATGCTGATAGGTTTTTCTTTTGATTTATAAAATAATAAATACAAAGGCATGAATGTAACTGAAGGCATATTATTTAAAGGTCTGAATGTAATTCAAGTACTTTGATAAGATATTGTGATTTAAAATTATTTCTTGAGGAGCAGAGCTTGTCATGAGGCAGATAGCACTCAGACTTATCCAAAAAATTTATAGCTCTTATAGATTGCTGTTTTTACAGGGCCATTTCACTTATAGGAAGTTCCAATTGCTTCTGATGAAATTTTCTGAGTGTTCCATTCTACACAAATGTATTAGCAGTACTGTTTCTCCTTTGGAGAGGCATTGGAGGCAGTAGTTCAGCTGAAATCTTGTTTTCCAAGTGTGACTTTGACTAATTCAGCTCCAATAATTCAAACTCCAGCCGGCTGTGAAGTATCAAACATGCCCTCATTAGCAAACAAAGCTGAAGTTCCATGCATATCTTAGATGGGTTTAATGTTGTAGCAATGTAAATTTACCAGGCATGCTTTTCTGTTTCACATTGTGCTCTGAAATAGGAGACAGGCATTTAAATAAACAGAAAAACAAATGTAGATCTTTTCCAGTGGGATTTGTCTTTGGCTATCTGCAGTTTTGTAGTCACACAGCAATTGCTTTACTGCATTCACTTTGTGTATTTGCTATTCTGTTTCATCAACTAAAGAATCTCAAGTGCTAAGATTTCATACTAGCTGTATGGTATTATAATCATGAGCAGATGTCAGGAGACTGATATAAAAGATCAAGTGTTATTTACTGGAGTGTTATTAGGAGGAAAAATGGGTAGGTGTTTCTGTGTAGCTTTGTAGATGCTCTTGGTTTCCATGAATACAAATTTTGATTGCTCATTAGCTGCTTATATAGAAAGTTCCTATACTGTTTCCAAGATACTGGAGTTTCCAAAACTCAGCTGTAGGCACTGTGCCTGGGCAGTGATACAGATAAATGCAAAAAAAAATGCCTGACCGTCCTCTATTACTCTCTCAGACAAGGAATGGTGTCATGGCTGGGGAGTGCATGTGGGACCTCATTCCTGTGCTTCATGACATGGATTTTTCAACTTCCTTTTGGTCTGTGCTGAATGACCGCAAAACATTCCCACTACAGGGAGATAGGGGCTTGGCCTTAATTGAAAATGTTTGTGGGCAAGCCCTGTTATGTGCATTTATAACAGATATGTTAGAATCTGTCTAATTATGTTATGAAATGTAAGTTGTTTAGAATACAGGCATGCATGCAAACTCCCTTGAACACAGGGCAAACTTGAATCCAGTCTAAATGGGGCAGCTGGCTCTTGTCTGTAAAGATCTGAACTGGAAACTCAGTGATATCTGAACTGGAACATCTCAGTGATATTTGATAATCTACACTCAGGCATGGCAGCATTCACTGGTTGAATAAATCAATCGTGCATTTTTATTTGCTACACATATATCTGAGCCCCCTCTTCTTATTGTTGCTTATAAATTGCCAGTAAAATTGTTCATAATTTTCCTGCTAATGATGGAATTTTCCACCTGGATTTGAGGAACAGCATGGGCAACATCTGGTGACTGAAGAGCAATAGATCCCTAAGGCCTCAAAGGGCAACATCTGCTTTGCAAACAGGGCTAGACCCCCTGCAAGGGTGACCTCCTCACCCCTCCTTCCCCCGCATTCCCTGACCTCTTCCCCTTGCTAGCTTAATGACAGATTTGAGGTCCAAACTCGGTAATGAGCCCTGAAGGGCAGTCATTACTCAGGTTCTGTATATCTGGGAGGTCCTGCACTATTCATGAGAAAGAGTTTTAAATTAAAAAAAAAACAAACAAACAAAAAAACCCCAGCAAACAAAAAAAAACGCAAAACAACGAACAGAAACCAGCATCCTTAACCCTTACTTGTTATTACCTGTTAATGGGCTTTTGGAGAAGCCCTTGGGGTCCAGTGCAGCCCAGGAGCCCCTGTAGAAAACTAAAGTGTGGATATCTGAATGGGCTGAATATCTCAAGGTAGGCAGAGAGGTTGCTTTCTTCCACCTCCAGCAGATAGGATGACAATGAAGTGAAGAAAAATGCATTCAGAGGGCCTGCCTTTCTTATGGTCATACTGGTCTGCTCTGATATGCGAACCATAAATTAAATTATGAGCTTTAATTTGGTGACCTCACCTGGTCATGTTTATTATGCGTGCCCTGTTATCTGCAAACGAGATCCTCCTTTCCCTTTGTACTGGGTACTTTAAGACTGAGGGTAGAGGAGGTGATGGCATTTCTGGAAACAGGGTTATTTTTATTTCCATTGAAAGATTAGTGCTTTTCAGTTTAAAAAGCCTGGTTTAAAGTCCCTAAAATTTGTCAAACATTAACTGTTTTAGCTGAAATTGTTGCTGGTGTATGCCATGAAAGAGAACTCCAGGGGCAGACCAAAGATTTATCTAACATGATGCTTTGTCTCTAACATCAACTAGCAATGGGCATTAGGAAAAAACATATGAAGAACAAGGCAAATGTGCTGGGGTTTTTCCCCAAGTATAGAAAAAGCCTAGCATTTACCACTAAGGTCACACGTCTGAAAGTTGCTGATTTCAATTCCCTGCTCCAAAGATAGAAAAATGGGTGCTTCTCAATAAAACAGTTATAAAAATTTCTTCGTTGTTTTCAGTGACCAAAGACCTTAATTTTCCCCAGTCTCATTCCCAGAAATGGTAAACTTTCCAGTCTGAAACAGTAATAGTCAATGCAATAGTAACTCCCGTCCTTCTTGTTGTTACTGTTATTATAAACATTGCTGTTATTTAAAACTGCCAAATTTGCTCTTATGCAAGTTTTTGCTACACGTAAACATACACACCCCACACAAACTCTATTAACCTTCATAGACTTTTAAATTTTCCCAATTTTAATGAAAGAAACATAAAGCCTTGTCTATAGAGCCACATGTGTGGGTTAAAAATGCAACAAATATAAAAATAGCTAGATAAACACAGTTTTAACCAGTCTTAATAGAAAGCGATGGGAGCTATTCTGCTCTCTTTTAAATTTATAATGAGTATAACTTGCCCACAGGATATGAGCTACCTTCTTATTTTCGTTCACTCGTATTCATATATACATCCCTTAGAAAGATTGTAATTGAGGTCAGAATAGAAGCATGAAGTTTTCCTGGCAGTGTATACATAGTGCACAGGTTTGCTAATGCAATAGCAACTGGCTTTTTTTTCTTTTGCATTCTAATTTGTTACTTTATCCAGGCAAAATTCTCATAGTGAATTTTTCATGGACTTTCTCATGAACATAAGACTATGCTTAGTAAACGACACTGACAGAATATTTCACACCACAACCAAAGCTTTCAATTTCATGTTTTAAAACTTTCTCACAAACCCCCTTATTTTAGGCAACTAGCACAGTTATCTTTTTTTCTAAAGTGTCGAGCATGCTCTAGCTGAATGTGGTGTGTTTTCCATTAAAATCTGTTGACCTGATTTTTTTTTACCTCTCTAAGGCTGTTTGCTGTGCAGCATGTCTCAGGGTGCAAAAGGGTGGATTCGTGCAGAAATACTTCTGAGGTTAGAAGCCTACAGTGGTGGATAACTTCTGGGTTGTGTGCAGGGTATTGTCTGTGCAAAGTGAATTGATGTAATTTGATTCATCAGCGGGGGTGGCTGGGACAACTTTGCCTGAATTGATGAGTACAAGTACTCAGGTGATCTGTTCATGTACCCCAATGTCAGCAGAGGTAAGCCTTGGGGAAATTCATTAGCTACACCATCAGTGGCCTGTGCAAGCTTCTGGTTGCATCTATAGGACTTGCAGTAGTAGTAACAGCTCTGAGTTGTGCAGTAATCAATAAGGACCTGATATTCAGCATTCATTAAATTTTAATTTGGTCTTCCTCTTCTGACGATAGCCAGTAGCTTAGCCTCTAGAAGATAGCTGAGAAATAAGTGAATTAAAAACAACATTCAGTATCTAGCACCCACAGAGCATGTGACCAACTGTGAAATACTTCAAATGCAAGAAAAGACCCATCTTCTTTCCAAGACTTGATTAAAGCAGGGGATCAGGGTATCTCTTCTCTCTAGCGCAGTTATAGGTCATCTGGACCCATAGGTTGTTTTGAACTGGCTATAATGGGTCAGATTCTCAACTGGTGCAAATCAGCATACCTGGGCCAATGTCACTGATTTGGTCTTTCACATAGAAAGAAGTGTGGCCATAACTCAGTTGGGTATAGCAATTCTCTTAAGAGTACCCTTTAGCCTTTCCTTGCAGTTTGACCTTTTAGGATTGAGAGCAGCGTTCTTTTAGTCTGATTCAGGTCGGTAGTTTCTTGGAGGAAAAAGGCAAAAAGCATGATAGTTTTAAAAACAACAAGTTAGTTTGGCCATTGGATCTCTCTACGTCTTTGACCACCTGTGCCTGCATGCCTCTGAGGCCTCTGACTATGGTATTACTGACCTTCTACACACCTACTCCCCACTCTGCCATCTACAGACCAAATACAGAGGTCTCAAATGCTCCTCTTTCCTCAAGGTGTGCACTAGCTTGTGTCAATCTTTGTGTAATTCAAGTGGTGTCACCTGAATAGCACAACCAATGCAAAAGGCTTAAAACTTGTATCACTGCCACAAAGTACACCTCAGGGTGACAGAAAGCTTTTTTTGCAGCTCCAACTAACTGGTGTTCATGGTGTTTGAATCCCCCTCAGAGCCCAGGTTGTTGTCCCTCTCAGGGTTCCCAGAGCCACCACCTTCGAGGCCTGAATTAAAACCTACAAGATCAACCAGATCCCTTCAGTTTGCTCGAGCAGGCTTTTTGCATTAGGCCTTTGATAAACGAACTGGGGTAAAAAAAGGGCTGTGAGGGCTTGCACAGGACTGTTCAGAACAGCAGCTATAGGGCTGTTAAATATTTGGTTATCCCTAAAGAAAAGGTCTTCCCTGAGAAGAAGGATCTCCTGCCCAGGAAATGAGTTGTGTCCTCTCAGCAGCCCAAAGCTCCCTATCTTGAAGGATGGATCAAGATATCAAGGCCAGCAAGGTGGTGGCTTTGCTGTGAGTCCTGTGGGAGTTGAAGGAGTTCTTGCTTCCTCAGCATGTCAGAGAGACAGCAGGAGATACTGCTGGCCAGAGTACTAAGGAAATAGAGGACTGAGAGGCTGCAGGGACCTGTCCTTTAAAGCATCCCCAAACAAGGATCTCTCGTCTATCCTTCAATATTTTCACAAAAGAAAATCCCAGCACAAACATATCCAGTTTCAGGAAACAGCACTCCACCAAGACTAAGTGTTCCTAGAAGTGTCAAGGGGACAGAACTGGATGTAGCCTCTGAGGTAGCTGCTCCTCATGGGGAGTTAAACATGATGAGGAAGCCAGGGCTGCAGACTGCCGTCTCCACACCCTGGCAGAGTTCGGCAGCAAAAGTATCAGGATTGAAAAATGCTTCCAGCTCTTTCATCTCAGGCAAGCACTGACAGCCTCCTATGAGAAGCCTCTTTTTTTCTCTGCTTCTTGTGTTCAGATAGCTTGTGCTAGCTTGTTCAGAAGGCTATGTGCTAGCCTTCTCAGGTATTGAAAAATGCCTTTCTTACTGCTGTGGTGTACTGTCTCCAGTAAGCAATACACACAAATGTTGCATCTGCCAAACGTTATCATCCACTGTTAATGTTACTAACATGAATGTTACTGGAGGGGCTTGGTAATGTGTGACTTTGCCACATGTTTTCCAAATGTATTTCTCAGCACGTTTCAGGTGTAGGAGGCTCTGGCTGTGTTTTCCACTTGCAGGGAAGCTTCCCGTCAGTCAGCGTTCATACTGACGCAGCTGGGTTGGGGAGGTGCCAGTAAGAAATGCTCCATCAAGCTCGGCACAGGCTCTTAGTGGAACATGGTTTCTTTAGTGGTGAAGGAAAAATTTGCTCCAGTTGTGCCAGATGCTGAGCTACACAGCTGTCAGACCTTTTCCTATCTCCTGTTGTGACTAAGAGAGGTTAATTGCTCAGACAACCCAGCTGCACAACAGCAAACTGCCTCTATACCCAGAAAATGGTCCTGAAAGCTGCCTGGCTACGGGCCACTGCGTTCCAAGACCTAATGCAAAGGTTTTGACCTCAAAAATTTTACTTACAGTACTCACTTCCATGCCACACATCACTGGCTGTCTAGGAAGTGCTGCATAACACATTCTCTCACATTAGCGAGATGAAACTGGGACATACTGACCAGGTGAACAATAGATTTGCAAAGAAAGCTGGACCAAAATTGGAAAAAAAAGTATAAAAAAAAGAAAAGCTAACATGTAAGAAACTGAAATACAGGATCAGCATTAACATTTAATGAGAGGAATGTTGAAGGGAAAACACTTGGACTGAATTTTGTCTCTGGTCAAGTTTCTGTGAACTCTGGAGACAGTGAAGAGAGAACCACTGGAATCCAGATTCGCAAAACAGAGTAAAAACATTCCTGAGTTTCCTTTTCCTAAATCTCTTACGAGGCTCTTTCTATTCTATTTGTTTGACCTACCAGAGGATTCTTGGTGTGCCTTGAGAATTCAGGGCAAGGCTTTTTTCTTGGCATTCAGGACATTTCTCCAGCTGCAGAGTTGAAACTTGTGCAGCTGCATTAAGCTGCACCACTAAAAGTCTGAAATGTTTTTTGAGAACTTGGAGAAGTTCAAGATTATTGGTGAATACAACTGAAGAGTGATTTGTTCACACCTAAGAAATTGCACACAGTTGTGGCTTGCGGGGACAGCAGAGCAGGCACAAATTGATGCTGTCAGTGAAACAAGGTCTCTGTACAAGTCTGTGAAGCCTAAACAAAGACTTTCTACATTCTGCTTTCTCCCACCTGCATTTTGCATTAGCAAATTAGCATGGTAGTGTCATTCCGCTTAGCCATCAGCCAGTTCAACAAGTGTGTGCAAGAAGTCCACCCCAGTATATAACTGGCAATAGCGTATGGAATATATGGAGGACCAGTATGGAAAAGCAACTTTTCTCATCTCTTCAGCAAAGTGACTCCATCACAGAGGCCCCAGCAGTCCATGAGGGACAAGGTTTGCATGTGTGACTTAGAAGATTTGTCTGAAGTGTCAAGTGACATTATTGGATGTACTCACCAGCAGTTCAAGTGATATGAACAGGAACACGTCTTTGCAAAATTTAACTGCCTAGAAGCATAAGGAGTGAATACTCACACTGACGACTTCCAGAAACAGAGCCATCTGCATGATTTCTCCTGTTGTCACTGATCAGTTATTCCCAGAGGAAAAGGAGAGATTGAACAACTGGCTTCTTTCAGAAGAAACAGGCTTTTTTTCTTCAGTTCTACTAGTAGGCACTATCATTTTTTGTTTTTTTTCTCAAAAGGAAACTTTTGCAAGTTGGTGTCTGATTGAAGCCTCTGCCCACCGAAGCAGGATTTAAACTTGCCTCTTTGAACAACTTTTTCTTCTTTACCTTGTCCATTCTTGGAGCTGAAAGCTGTTAGAGGATCATCTGACACCACATTATAACTTCTTGTTGCCTCTTGTCTTTTCCAGAGAGCACCAGCAAGATACCAGTATCAACAGAAGGGACAAAAACTTCTTCACGTAAGTTTAATTAACGGAGTCTTTCTGTCTCTTTCTCTTCATTTCTTCTTGAAACTGCTTCTGCAGCTCTGAAACAGCTCCTTCTTAGTAGAGAACAATTCATCTACATCCAGCAGCTCGGTGTCTGTGTATCACCTTGCATACTCGAGCCACATCAGGGACTGAGAAATGAATGAAGAAGGGTAATTCACACTTTTTAATATCCTGGGGCTGTTTTGAGGAAGATAACTTGGCCTACAGTTGTCAGGCTGCAGAATGCCCAGTGAAAAAGTATTTGTGTTGTGTATTTCAAAAAAGCACTTGCTGCTCCTGCAAATCCTAGCAGCCGCATGTGAATTTACAGACTGCATAGAGGTATGGATGTGTCCTCAAGAAAGTCTGTTGCCTGGACTGCTCTGTTCCTCAGGGCTCTACATACAATTCCTGACAGCTCTGCAGGGTCTGTGAATGTAGACAGGTAATTCAATGACAGTAGTTTATCAACTTCTGAAGCTGCCTTGGCATATTGGGAGCCTTCTCCAGGTGGTTTCCATTCAGGCTGGTGGAACTTGCTTTCAGCATCCTGCCTGGAGTTATAGATTGTGTACCTCCAGAGTTACTCTTGGAACTGACCCCAGTGAGAAACCACTTTCATTATTTTAACTGGTAGAGTTAGTTTATATATGGCCACAGTACAAGCAGTTGTCTCTACCACTGAGTTTGGCTGAGGGAGCTGCAGATAGACGAGTGTAAGCCGAGCAGCCCAAGGATTTACAAGATGCGCATACCCTCCTTGGCAAAGAGGCTGGGGTCCTGCTAGCTTTTTTGGGAAAGCTATGTCTGGCAGAGACAGGTTTGAGTGTGAAATGACAGTGTTTGTAGGCTAGATCAAGGAAAACAGTGTGATTGCCAGATTTTGCATTTAGCATGCCTGCAGCCTTTCCTTTGATGCATCTGCGTGTGTGGCGACCTACTTCTGAAATTTTGGCACTGCTACCTGACAGAAGAGACATTGGATGTGCCCGTATTCTTTCATGCTCTCAGTGGGGCCTGTCACTGGTGCTTCACTGGATATGTATGAGATCACATAGCTAATAGCAAGTGTCTTGTAACCATTGGAACCATTTTTGTTCAAAAAAGGTGGCACGCTGGTCACTGACTCCACTGGGCTTGCCTTGCCTTCTCCCTTGTGCAGCAAGAATGCAGTCTCTGCACTTTGCTGCCTTCTTTCCCATGAACTAAAGTCTTGTTCTTGAGTGGTCTCTTTCCCTGCTTATGCCCCTTCCAGTGCCTGCTGTTAAGTACTGTTCTCCTCTTTACTGCTGTTGTGCCACTGGAGAGGAGGAAGCTGGGATGTTCAAAAGACTGGCTGCATTCCCAATGAGTAGCTGCACTGGCAGATTTCATGCCAAGTTGTCCTGAAGGAGAGGAAAAAGCAGTATGTTCACTGGTGGCTTATTGAGGTCTTCTTGTGGGCCTCTGAGTAGGTCTTCAATACGTGGCTGGAGTAGAGACCTGCTTAATCCCAAACCCAGCCAGGTGCTGTTTTTCCTACTGTTCTCTCCCAACCCTGGGTCCAGACCATGTCAGCTTTCTTTACTACTACATGAGTTTCCTGCTGACTAATAGTGTCTGGGGTTTTGGGCACTGCTCATCCTTTTCTTTCCAGTCTTTGCAAATGAAAATAAGTTATTTAGTTTGTTTCTTTAGTTGAAGATAGGCTGTTGTGAAATGCTGGTGTTTAAACTGCCAGGAGATAGGTCTTTTGAAGTATTGCTTCAGTCTTAGTTTCTAAGAGTGGTTTTACTCTGCCTAAAACCAGACTTGATCAGATTCCTCTTCTCTGCATGGCATGACAAATTCAAGGTTTCACTGCAGAGCGTGCAGTATGCCTGACCTGCTCCCTAGGATCCACAAGCTGGCTGTTGGCCACATGTACTTCCTTCTTCCCTCACCACACTGGCATGTCACATTGTCACCTTAGGCAAAGTGCTCTCTCTTCAAACCCTTCCTTCCTGCTCATAGTACTTCTTAAGTACTTCTTAAGCCTAATCTTAAATTCTTTGTTCATGCATGACACCATATAACTTGCTAGACAGTGAAAGCCCATGAAGCCACCCAAGTGCATGGCTCTGATTTGCTGCATGATTCAGGCTCCTACAGTTCATGAGGTTCAGACCTAGCTTCAGTCTACCTGCTTCTTCTGAAAACTTTTGAGTGCTTCCTTTGTGTGATTCGTGTTGAGGTCTGTTTCCTTCGACTGTCCTACAAGATTATTTACTACCTTGAGAATGCTCCTTTTTCCTTTCTTTGTAACCACTTTGGTCTGGAATGTGTGCTACTCTCCCTTCCATCTACAGCTCTCTGCAGAGGTGGTGACACTCATGGACCCTCCTCTCTTTGAAGCCACAGAGGTCCTTAACTGTAGTTGTGATAGATCTGAATGCCTGACTGTTCATTTGAACTTATGTGAGAAGAAGATAACAAGTTAGTGCTTCCTGGGTCAGCATGTGGAGCTTCAAGACCTACTGCTTTCCACTTTCCCCTGATGCTGTCACAAACAGCGGAAAATTTTACTCTCTCTTTGCCAGTTTTCTCCTGGCCTTCTCTCCCAGGACTATAGAGCATTTTTGCTGTAATTGATTATTCACAGTGTGCCTAGGACATGCTGAACCAACTTTGAAGTTCTTTGCTTTCTCAAGCTATCTCATTTTTTTTTCTCTGCTTTGTTGGGTTTCTGACTACTGAGGGGGAAAAAAAAAAAGAAAAAAAGAAAGCTGTACTGGGAGAAGATGTTTGGGCCCCTCCAGTAGAATACTGTAGCTATGGCTGTACTCTTACAACTTTATTGTTACTTCTGTGTGTTGCAGAACCCATACCTAGGATACTGTCTTCAACAGAAGGAACAAACACTTCCTCCTGTAAGTATATACAAGTTGTTTAAATTATTGCTGGCAAGACCTCAAAAACAGTTCTCATTTCTTAGCTCAGCACAAAAATGTGCTTCTGTCTAAACCTGTGTTGAGAGATCAGGAGTGACTGGGTGGGATTTCTGCACTACAGGTGCAACTGTTATTTTTATATATTATTAAAACTCTCAGAGACATGTTCTCCTTTGTGTATTGAGATCTAAACACCTTCCTTCGGAAAGGTCAAAATGTACATTTGGGCAGGGCAAAAGAGAAGGAAACTTCACAAGTGTTTTCTACCTGGAATTACCTTCCCTGCCCTCCCCAGACAATGTATGGCTTCAAACAGTTTTGTCTGCCTCCATGCATGTCACAATACCTTGGGCTCTTTGTCCTGTGCCCCAATACCTATAGGAAGAAGATAAGGAAGGTGAAGACATCTTTGTGTGTTTCTTCCCTCAGCTGAGACAGAGAACCAGAAATGGTTCCCCTTCCTGGGAAAGAGAGGTTGTGTCTCTGCTTATCTCAGGAGCACACTGGGAGCTGCAGGGGTACCAGTGAGGAAAACGTCTCTTTTCTTCCTCTGTACTGATTCTTCCCAAGGAATCATGCATTATAGCCGTAATACTATACATTTTCACCCTTGAGAACCATCAAGAAAAGCCTTCCAGGTCTTTAGTAGAGCCAAATCTACATATACCCAGCCTGGTTTTGAGCAGTCAGGAAGGTCACTTCACACAATGTGAGGTAGCAGCATTGTGGGAGGTAGGGTATTAACCTTTCCCTAACACATTAAGTATTGCTGGCTGCTAGGAATAGGATGGCAGGTGAGATAGACCAATGGTCCAAAATACCCTTACAGTTCCAGTGATGCTATAAAATATGGTGTGTACTTTATAGCAAACTATACATTAATGCCTTTAACTCACATCTAATAGCTACTGTAACAGCATCAGGAGGAATGGTCAAAGCCATATCTCTGGATTTTTGCGGATTTTCTTCACAGCTATTAGGCTGATTAGTTTTAAGTGTGTGTTAAATTACAGAAATTTGATAGCTTATTCAAAAAACTTTCTGCCAGCAAGGTGAGAAGAGCTAGTTTTGGCCTCCTTTTCCCTTTGATGCTTAGCAGCAGGGGAGGAAGGAATAATTCCTGGAGCAATTTAAAACAGTAATTTCTCTCCATTCTGTTCTCATTAGCATTGATGTGTAGCGGGATTAGTACTTATCAAGTCACTAAAATAAGTAATGTAAGAGAGAGGGCAAAATTGGATATTGCTGCCTATTCTGGTTAGGAAAAGCAGGAGGGAGCCAATGTTTATTGCTAACAGATGTGAATGTCTCTCTGCAGAGTAATGAGGGAATTGAGTCCCTGTACTTACTCTTAAGTTCCTTAGGGCTTTTCTTTTCTGAATTTCAGTGGGACATGTCCATTTCACACTTGTCACTGTCAATCTTGTAACAGCCACAGGAGATAAAATAAACTGTTTCCTTCCACTTCTCAGACAATAGCAGATGTTTAGAGAACATGCCAGCACTGTCACTGTTGGCCAGACACTGGGAAAGACCTGGGAACAGCAGAGTGATTCAGTAGGCTCTCTTCCCCAGGGCTTTCACGAGAGAACAGACATGTGTCATGCTTTGCTTTTTTAGGAGTTCCAGTGACAGACAGATATTCAGAGATCTAAAAGTTTTTAAAAAATCCCATCTTTGAGATATCAGCTGTGGAGTGTCTTACAAAACTGAAGGTCCCTACCCTTTTATGTGCACTTATACCTACACTCCTCAAAATCCAAACCATTTTGAGAGCGTGGACCTCCATTCTTAAATAAAGGAGAAAGAAAAGCCTATGATGCATTCTGAGCTTCACATAAAGGACTGGTGATCTGGTTGAGGAGTCAGTAATCCAAGGGAGGAGGAAGAAAATTCATGCTTTTGTGTCCGGTTTCGTAGTGTGAGACTTAGTGGCACTGATTGCTAATGCTACCCCTCGCAGGCAGAAATACTTCCCACTTTCTCTTCTACTCCAGCCCTAGGATTGTTTCATATATATTTATTTTCTTCTGTGTAATCATAGAATCATAGAATGGTTTGGGTCGGAAGGGACCTTAAAGATCACCTAGTTCCAAGCCCTTTGCCATGAGCATGGACACTTTACACTACACCAGGTTGCTCAAAGCTCCCTCCAACTTGTCCTTGAACAACTGCCAGGGATGGGGCATTCACAACTTACTTGGGCAACCTGTCACACTGCCTCACCACCCTAACAGTAAAGAATTTCTTCTCAATATTAGTCTAAACCTAGTCTCTTTCAGTGTAAAGCCATTCCCCCTTCTCTTATTGCCACATGCTTTTAAGTTACAACTTTCATTTTCCTTCATGATGAAGCTCTCTGTGATATGTTTTTTCCTGCTGAATGAAGTGAATGAAACAACAGCAGTTGTAGCCCTGTGTGCTCTCACTACAAAGGACTGCAGAGAACATTCTTAAGCACATCAGAAATATTTGGGGATGGAAGAGGTTTTTCCATTCCTTGTTTCCTAGGACTGCAGTGATCTGAAGCAGGTGTCTTATGACCCTATGACTTTCTTCTGCTGAGGAGTTGCAGTGGAAAAAGTAAATCTGAAACTTCACCCTAATGCCTTGATTTTATGGGTTCAGTCAACTATATATTCAAGGATAGAGAATGAAATTGTGGTGGTCTTTTTTGCTCTCCTGGGACTTGTTAAAGGAATCTTGGCTTCTCACCCCGATAGCATACATTTGGCGGCTTTCCGTTTCTTTAGAAAGTTGGTCCCAAAACTTGCATTCTTGTTTGTAAGTTACAGCATACATTGAAAGAAATTAAAAGGCAATCAGCTTTCCTAGGTTAAAATCATCAGCACTGCACACAGCCTTCTGGTGGAGGTGTTGTACAGGAAGGTTTGTATGGTGCAAGAGGGGAGAAGGAAAGTGGTGGGATACGGGCTGCCTACAATAACTACAATTCCTGTTGTGTGGGAACCACCAGCAGCACAGTACGGATGTAGAGACCAAGAGTGATTCCACACCTTATTTTACTGGTTCTATGGACAACAGCAGTTTGGAAACCTGTGCTCTGAGGACTAAGCTGGGTCAAAAACTGGGCACTTTTCGCGGGAGAAAATGAAGAGGCTGCACAGAGACAGAGCCTGTGGGAGTATGTGTCAAAGCGTTTGTGTAGTTGTACCTTGCAACATTACCATCATGCTGGTTTGTGCTGCCCACTAAGGGCTGCTCCCTAAAATGTCTGTGGAGGCAGTTCCTCCGGAAAACAGCCAGAGCTCTGCATGTATTCATGTTTAAAATCTCATTGTCTTATACCAGGATTCTCAGTTCAGATATGTTTGCTCGTGCAAGATGGTGAGCCAGCAGCCATGGCACTGGATGTGCTCGGAGCATATTCTCTGCAGCGTGCATCCTCCTGTCCATCTAGCAGTTTGATATGATGGCCATTTGGAGGCAAGAATATGGATAAAGAACAGGTAGAAGGCTGATCTCACCTTGGCTGTGGCTTCTCTTTTCAGAGGAGTACAGAGCAAGTTTGTTGAGCTTTGGGCTGGAGAGAAAGACACAGTGTTGGTCACCTGTCCAGCTTCAGATTACTTCAGACTAATTTTCCTGCAGACTTTCAAGCTGGCCTCTAAAACCTGTACAGAAATTTTAAAAAGAAGGATTAGTTGGATAAAAAATGTGCCAGTTTGAACTGCTCATCCCTTCTTTCCGGAGTTATTAACTTACAAGCTCCAAGCTTGGCACAGCAAGGCACTTTCCTAACACTTCGTCTTCTCATTGTGCAATAACAGATTCCAACCTGCATATTAAATGGAGACCAGGTACAGCACACAGAAAGGAAGCACAGAAAGACTTTTTGCCTGTCACATTTTCTCAAGCACAGTACTGAACTGCTTTGATGGAAGTGTTCCATGCTGAGCAATAAAACCTTCTATATAACATGATGTGAGGGCCATTGGTTTACGGAATATTTTTAATGGGAACATTTTTGCATATATGAAGCAAGCAATCTGGCCAGTAGATAATCTGTGTCCTAAAATCTTAACAAGCAAGTTAAGTTTCTGCTAAATTCTTCTTTCTTTCATCTCCTAAAGTGAACCCAATCCTCTTCCCCTGTACTTATTTATGCTATAACTGACAAAAGTCCACTTTAAATTTTCAGAATCATACAAACCTGAATCAGTGTTTTGTATTAAAATCTAAATACACTGGTGACAGCTCAGCAATTTCTGAAATACAGCTATTTTGGGGTGAAAGAACACAATTTTTTATGAGATAGTAACCAGGTAGAGTCACCTGGGGCAGGATGGTAAGAGGAGAATACTGTAACCAGTTGACAAAGCTGAGGGAATTCAGATGGTGAAAGCAATTACTCAGGTTCCACTTATGCTAGCACAGCAGGACTCCCAGCTCCTGGTCTTCTAATAAATTAGTCTGACATCTTCCAACTGTCAGCATTTAACTCATCCCTTCCATGGATTGAAAGGCTGCTTTCTCAGGAAAGCCATGTACATGAGGCCTTGGTGGGACAGTGGGTCAAAGGAAAACCCTATGCCAGCTCGTGTGTTTTTTGCTTTACTATTTCAGTGGGTTTATTTTTCTGACTAATCATCTCTGGAAAGAACATTTTGCTTTGTTCTAAGGACACAGTGAGTGAATAACGGCAGGGTCAGATAATTAGTTCTTGTTTACTGTAAAATAAGTTTAAAGCTACTAGTTAGTGAAATGCTACTGAAAGAGCAGCAGTGAAGATACGTCAATTCCTTGTTAAAACCTACCACAGTTGCAGCATGTTGCAGTTTCATTCTCCACAGTGGGCATGAATAACAGTGGGCGATGCAGTGGTAATTTCAGTACATTTATGATTTGATCTGGCATGGAAAATCCTGTTTCCTGTAGTTAAATTTCACAGATAGGGCAAATTCATGTGAATAGGTAACATTTCCAAAGAGACAGAGCTTTCAGTCTTTTGTATGATTCCCAGTCTAAAGCTGGTGTGGCATGAAATTTCTGTTTCAAACCACTTAATATCCTGGGGTTTTCTGTAGCTGCACTCTTGGTCCCCCAGTCTTGCTCTGAAGGAGAGCTTGGGTTGCCACTGAG